GCCCAGTGTTGCAATAATCTCAAGGTTCTGGAATGGGGATGATGAGGAAAATCTGGCCACCTTCTCCTTCAGCTGAATCATCTCCAGAGAGAGTGCTTTGGACAGCTTCCAGTTAGACATGGATCTCCTGCATAAGAAAAGCAAAACTTTGCATACACTCCTTTAGTCAGGCCAGGGTCATGCCACACCTAAATCCCACTCTTAACAATAGTATTATTTCTGCCAGTAATTACTACCCATGCTTGCTACAAAAGCTGTCTCAACTTGTAGAGGATCAGATTCAGTTATGTCTGGGGAGAAAAACAATAGAACATACAAACAAAAAACTTGCACACGCACACACACACACACACACACACATTAATAGACAAATGTCAAACTGAATCAATGAGAGGTAAAAAGAGCTGAATTGTGTAGTATTTAAAGTATATCTCAATAAATCTGTTGTTGTTGTTTCTGAAGAATCAATGAGAGGAAATAAAACCAGTGAGCCATTCCTTTGCTACACATACAGGAGAATGCCACGCTGAGAACCTTTGCTGTGTTTTGCTATTTTTGTCAGGTTTCGAAGCTTTCCATGGATGAACCAGAATAACTGCTTAGTCAAACATGAAAAATACATTCCCTACTTTGTAGCTAAGTATCATTATTTGGAAATACTCATTTTTCTCTTTTAATTAAGGTTTACTGCTCTGGATTATGTATTCATAAATTGTTCTTACTGCAAAAGGCCTTTGACATAAAAACTGCAAATACATTCCTTGCCAGAAGAAAACAAACAAAAACAAAACAAAACAAAACCAGAAACAAAAAAACACCACATAGCAAAAAAATTCTGAGGTTCTGATTAAATGTTCTCATGTACTTCAAATGTTAGTTTTCTAGAACTTTTGACTCCAGCTTCTTACGTGAATATATTCTTAAGTATTTACTCTATAAAATGTAAAGGATTTTCAAATTTTAATTTTACAAAGCAGTTTTTCTATTAAGCACAAAATTCTTCATCAATATTACCATATCATTATTATTGTTATTATTACTATTATTATTACCCAACTCCTTCCAGCACACACACACACACACACACACACACACACACACACACACCCCTGGGCAATAACTCCCTTATATTCTGAAATAATTCTGATGCTACCCCACCTGTCTACCTGGAATCAGAATGAATGGCTTACACTAGTCCGTTGGCATTCTTGTGTGGTTTCCATTTCCATTTCTGAATTAATCTCCTTTTGAGCTAAGTCATCAGACATAGACTCCCATCCCAAGGCCGCCTATCAGGAAATGTCTCCCTAACATTACTACTCAAAGCTGACTACTTGCAGACTAAAATAATATCTACACTAGTAGTGGTAAGTAGCATCCTCTTTGTAGAAGATCAATTTAAAAGAACTCCCCCAAATTTTCTAGTGATGGCACACAGAAAGTTATTAGTACATGGCGAATCACACTCCTGTGCTCTTTCATCTACTGCTGGAAGTCCTATGAGGCTTAGGAAAACGTTCCTCCACTTACTTTGCATGTCTTTTCTCATCATCACGGTTTAGGTTTGCCACATACCCTTCAAGGTATTTTTGGAGTTCTTCAAAAGTCCCAACTGTTTGGTTGAATGTCCTAAGTGAATAAAATAAACAGTTACTATTGTAACCTGACATTTTCTCAAGCTCATAAAAGACCATTTGTATGGTTATTCATGGCTTTGTAAATGGTTTCTCAATAATTTCAATAATTTATATTACATTAAAGTTGCCATAAATGGAGAAGTTATATAATTTATCCTGTGAGTTTATGAAGACAAAAAAAAGAGAAAACATTTCTGGAGTTTTCTGTCTTGTGGTTCAGGTTTACCAGCAATTTTTTTCCCCCCAGAGGACAGTGGACAGGAAGTAGTCTACATAATCTGTTTACTGAGTCAACAGGTTACATGGATTGCAGATTTTCCTAACTTTGCTTCATCAAATTAAGCTATTTATTTTAAATATCAAGGAAAAAATTTATCTTTTCTTTTCCCTCGATAATGCTCCTCATTTCACATCCCTTCATAATTAAATCTACATGTTTTACTTTATCTTGGTAGTTTTCTGAGGCCCCGCCAATATCTTCCCTTGCCCTCTCTCGCCCTTCACAGATCAGACTTGACCTTGCCCCATCTACTTTCCCCATCCCCACCAAACTGTCTGCGGGAACTCATACAAAGCACTGCACGTGAAAAATAAAGAATCCCCTTCCCCACCAGTGAAATATATTTTCTCGATTATCTTTTCAATGTTTCTCCGCCCTTACACTCGACAATCTACCTTGATTTGTGACTTTTTAGGGTGCTTCTCTTGTCTACTGCAATACAGTATCCTTCTAGAAACTACACTTTAATCTTCTTGGTAAATCTTAAGCACTTGGGCATAAAAAATTAAAGGAATGAGAATTTACCTCAAAACAACTAAAACTAATAAACCAGAGCCATCTCATTACTGTACTGTTGCCATTTATTGCTTTCCTAGCCCTGAAGACCTCTCCCCATGTTGAACTGACCCCAATATACATTCACATGATTAAGTATATCTTATATACTGTGCTGGTATTTTCCATTTTTCTTTTCAGATCTACTCTCCACTCTTTTCTATCCTGCTCCATGGATTGATAGAATAGTGAGAAACAAAGAGCACTGCCATGAAATTTCAAATATCCAACGGGTGAAATTTGCAAGCAAAAGGGAAATACTTCTTGTACTTTGTTTTGCTTTTTTAAAAAAAAATTAATGTTTACTCTTGAGAGAGAGATAGAGACAGAGAGAGAGAGAGAGAGAGAGAGAGAGAGAGAGCGTGAGCAGGGGAGGGGCAGAGAGAGGGAGACACAGAATCTGAAGCAGGCTCCAGGCTCTGAGCTGTCAGCACAGAACCTGATGCAGGGCTCAATCTCGTGGTTCGTGATATCACAACCTGAGCCGAAGTCAGACATTCAACCGACCGAGCCACCCAGGCACCTCACTTTGTTTTGCTTTTATTTATTCTATACATCACCATTATTTTGCTTGCTGTTAAACTAATTAAAGTATCGTAAACAAATCTCGTTCTTTTAAAGATAGTGGATACTGGTGTCACAGGCTCCGAGAAATTCTCCACAACTTAGAGTTAAAGTAAATGTAAACAGCTACAACATTCTAGCTGTGACAAACAGCCTATAATCATTTTGATGGTACTGATGGTTCATTCTGACATAATCAGCTCCTTGAGATCTTTCCCAACAACCAAAGAATGATGAAGATGTCACAAATAACACTTTCCACGTATTTAGAGATACTGCCATTTTGCACATTTCATTATACCTAAAAATAGGAAAACTTGAACTCTCCTCCTTGCAGTGTATTCATTCTAAGCATTTTTGAAAGAACGCATTAGGAAAGAAGAAATAAAGAGCCAAAGGCTTTCAGTCACTGTATTTCATTGCAAGGATGGTGTCCTTTATTCAGCCAACATGTGGAGCACTTGCCGTCTGCCAAGGACTATGTCATTTGCTGGCACTGTAACAGCAGTGAACAAGTCAGTGTTTCCGGACTCATGAAGTTTATAGAACAGTGAGATGACAGATGTTAAATAAAGCAATTCAATAAAATGTGAATGATGATATAAGTGTAGATAAGGTACTATGGGATAATTATCATGGGATCTTAACTTAGTCTACTAGTCATAGCTACCAGGATCGTATCATTTTCGATTCAGACTGAATACTTTTCTGACTGAAAGGTGGTGCCAATAACAAATACGCTGGGCCAACCAGAACTGTCCAGGAAATCCAGGATGTAGGTCAACCCATTTACAGCTGATACTCAACTTCTCTCACTGATAGAAGAAATGCATGTAACTTTTTAAGTCTCATCGAGCCTAATACAATACTTTGTTTATTAGAGAATCAACATGTAAGTTGAACATTTTAAAATTATAAACTTCCAAATAATATATTAACTCTATAAAATAATTGCATCCTTTTCAGGGATTATGAATATCTGAGACATTGTATAAACATTTGCTTGTGTGATTACAATGAAGAAAAAGGAAAGGAATTCTTCCTTTCTCTCGTATTTTTAGTCCTAGCATTTCAGAGCAATTTATAAGATTCTACCACGCAGCTAATGCTATTCAGTGCATGCATATATTTTTAATGAACTCATATACGAAGCAATGCATTATCAGGACCATACCGTACTCATGTATTTTCCATTTCTGAGCTGGCATCCAAAGATTACCTTTATCTGAACCTATTGTGCACTTTCTAGCCCTATGCCTTCGTTTCTAAGTTTTACTTCACCTGGAGTGACTTCTATATTTCCTATTTGCCTATTAATTTTTAAGCCCCATGTCCACACTTAACAAAATTAAACCTTGCCCACTTTACCACATCGTGATTTCCTCTCTTTCTGAATACATGCTACGGGAGCCAAATGGCACAGTGGAAAGAACTCCGAAAGGAAGTCAGGACACCCGGTCAGTAGCTCTTGGTCCAACACAGGACAGCATCACTTGGGCAACCCTTTACCGATCTGGGACTTCTTTTCTTATCCATAAAACAGAGATTAAAATCATTCAGTGATATTAAGGATTATTGTTCTATCTGTGGTGATGGATGTTAACTAGACTTAACTGTGGTGGTCATTTTGCAATATATACATATATTCAAGCACTATGTTGTACACCTAAATATGTGTTGATTATGCCTCATTTAAAAATAATAAATAAAAAAGGAATATTGCTAACTTTTTAGGTATGTTAATGTTATTGTGGTCATGCCTTATAAATAACATTTATCCTTTAGAAATGCTGCTAAAGTTTATAGATGAAATCATTTTATGTTGGCAATTTGTTTGAAAATAGTATGGAGAGGGCAGAGAGAGGGTAGCAAAGGGATCCAGATAAGGCATTCATTGATAATTTCTGGACTTGCATTATGGGGTTCATAATACCATCCTGTCTGCTTTTTAATATGTGTGAAATTTTCCACAATAAAAAGATTTTTTTAAATGTTCTAAAGTCCTGGGGCACCGGGGTGGCTCCGTCAGTTAAGTGTCTGCTATGTCTCAGGTCATGATCTCACGGTTTCGTGAGTTCGAGCCCCGCATCAGGCTCTCAGCTTTCAGCACAGAGCTCACTTGGGGACCTCCGTCTCCTTCCCTCTCTGCCCCTCCCTTGCTCTCTCTCTCTCAAAAATAAATAAACATTTTAAAAAGTGTTCGAAAGTTCATTACAGTTCTAAACCCCTGATTCAATGAATGTTATGTTCGATCAACTACATGCTCCCTTGTGATACTTCTTTTTACTATTTTTTGCTAATATTTCATATGGGTATACCCTATTTCTTTGACTTTACTATGAGTTTTCTTTTTTTAATTTCTTTTATGTTTGTTTATTTTTGAGAGAGAGAGAGAGACTAAGCAAGAGCAGGGTAGGGGCAGAGAGAGAGGATACACAGAATTGGAAGCAGGCTCCAGGCTCTGAGCTGTCAGCACAGAGCCCGATGTGGGGCTCGAACCCACAAACTGGGAGATCATGACTTAAGCCAAAGTCTGAAGCCCAACCCACTGAGCCACCCACGTGCCCTTTACTATGAGTTTTCTTAGACAACGGCCTAGCTTTGGTATATTTGCATTTCCTTTTATGATATCTGGATAACTGATCAATATTCAACTCATTAGTGAGAGATTCAAAGGGCCAGATTCAAATATGATCTGAAGTGAGTGAACGACACAAAGTAAGACTTTTTTCTGAAAAATAACCTGAGACATTTAGAAATTAATATTAACACCCGTCACTTGCAAGTTACTGCAAATGTTAAATTAAACCTTCTCTGGAAATATATGTATAGCTAATAATGAGTATTTTACATCATGTCCGAGACAGAGGTTTTGTTCAAAAAAATTTTTTTGACTGCTTACAGCATTTTAGAAATAAATTATGGAATGGTTCACTATATCGTATGGGAGAAAATCTATAAGAGTACTAATAAGCTTATTTCTCTGGAAGATGCAGAATTTAAATCGGTCTATTGCTGATATTTATGTACAAACTTTGCACACAAAATATTTAGCCTGCCAGCATCTGCCACTGCCACAGACAGATTCAGATCAGAAGGCCCAGTTCCTCCCCATGAATTTTAATAGAATATACTTGCAGCTGAGGATTGGCCAGCATTTCTAAGTGCTGATGAATGAGAAGACAGATGGGCCCTCGGAGTAACAGAAGGCCAAGTCTTCAAAGGTGGCAATAGCTTGTCTTCCCAGACAGTATCCGCATACTCACTCTCGATCTATAACCAGGCATGCGACATCATTTTCTTCGGCGATGATGTTAGCTGATCTGACATCCTCACTGCAGACAAAACCAGGAAAGTCAATTTTCTACGGTTAGAAATTACACATCCATTTTTATTAGAGGATCTGCTACTTTTTTTTATGAAACACCATCATTTAAACCTTCCAAAGACTGCTTTTTTTAATCATAACATACTCCACCCCTTTCCAAAAAAGCATTTGAAATGTGTCCCAATAAAGGTTATCTCAATAAGGAATTCAGAGAAGGCAAATTGCACCAGGAATAGAGAGGAATTGGTGACTACAAATGCAGATGGAATCTCATTCTGTGCTTTGTGTCAGCAAAATAAAATAACTCTCTTCTGATCAAATGGGAATTGCTAATTAATAAGCAGCCAAAACCTGAAATTAACTAATCAAAGAAATTTATTGGAAAAACATTCAAGTAATCAATATACAATAAAAAAGCCAATCAAGAATAAAACCCAGGGGCAACCAGTGGCTCAGTTGGTTGAGTGTCCAACTCTTCATTTCGACTCAGGTCATGATCTCAGGGTTCATGAGTTCCAGCCCTGCATCCAGCCCCGCATCAGAATCCATGCTGACAGCAGGGAGCCTGCTTGAGAGTCTCTCTCTCTGCCCCTCCCCCAACTTGCTCTCTCTCTCTCTCTCTCTCTCTCTCTCACCCTCTCTCAAAAAAAATAAACTTAAAAGAAGAATAAAACCCAAAGAAAGTGGTTTTAGTGCCGTATCACCCAATGATTAAGTAAACACTAAAATACTTTAATTGCATAAAACCTAAGATGTACATTTTTCACTAGAATCTCTGAAATCAGAGCATGTCCTACAATTGATGATGAATCATAGTGCAATCAATAGCATTGTCTTTCTTTCTCAGAGGTACATTATATAATGGTGCCTTTCAAAATTGATATCCTATATTCAATGAATTACAGCATATGATCTAGTGACGGCAAATTTAATTACCTAATGAATACCATAGGCCAAGCATTAGGTAAAGTATTTCTTTAGAGACCTTTATTTATATGAGTTTCCTCCCTCTATTAGTTACAAAATAAGACACTGAAAAATGGTACCCCCATATGGTACCCAGTGCTGTGAGATTCATTTAAGGTAACTGGGAGGAACAAACATATTGGGCCTGCTCTAAGTGACTTCATCAAACATGTAAACCACAAAGTATATACAGTTCCTTCATCTTCCTTTGGTGATAGGACAGGAAAACTTTGGTGGCCCATCTCTCATTCCAAAGAAGTCCCCTATTCACATAGGTGACATCCAGAGTCCTTCTGACATAACACACAGCTCCTGACATGTCTACAGGGTCCTTGCCAGAAGACATCAGCAAAAACATTCCGGGTTGATGAGCTTTTGAGTTGGGAGCTGAGCAGTCGCTACTCAATGTGTATGTGTGGAGACATCTATATCTATCTATTTATCTATCTATATACACATATATACATATATGTACATATACATATATACGTGTACATATATATGTACATATACATACACATATGATCTTGGATATGAGCCAATTTGATTTGTGAGTTCAAAAAAAGGAATGATGCGGCCTCCCTTTCACTTGTGAGTGTCAAGACTGACTAGGAATATTCTCTGCAAACACTTTATAAATATTAGGTGTTTATAAATACACATGTTTCTTTCATAATAACTGTGTAAGTGCCATGGATTTACTGTTGTACATAAAATGCTGAAAGAACTCCTGGGACTATTTAATGTCAAGTCATGGAAACATACAGAATATAAGGAAATATAGAGCCACAGTCAGTGGCCCTAAAAACTGATAGCATAAAAATGCACAAAAATGTAGAAGCATTTGTATTCAGTGCTCCTGTTCACTGAATTTAGCTTTATGCTTTCAAATGCCTAGGGAGTTGGGTATCTGTAGTAAATATGAATTCCCATGTTTCTCAATGGAAAACACTGTAGTTGGCTAGCTGTGACATACAGAATAAATCATTGCAGATCCGGCAAAATCAGACAATATACTTCCTTTCAACAGCTATTTTGACTCTGTAGTACATTTATAAAGTTCTCTGCACTTTCAAACTTTAATTGTTTCGCTGGAAGGTATGAAAAAAGTAATCTAGTAATGTTAAAAACAAATACACTGAAGCTTTGAATAATAAAATTACATAATTATATTACATGAATGTATCTGTATTTAGTCACAAACAAAAAAATTTTACAAAGGACAATTTCCATGTTATTGAAACAAGTTAATTACTAGCTAGAAAACGAGAAAGAAAAAATTTTACTTGCATTTAAATTCCATTTTTAAAATGTTTACAAAGTAGTCATAATTTAACTTACTAAGTTTATGTGTTTTTCCTTTGAAAATAAGAGCTTTATAATTTTTTTTTAATTTTTTTTTCAACGTTTATTTATTTCTGGGACAGAGAGAGACAGAGCATGAACGGGGGGGGCAGAGAGAGAGGGAGACACAGAGTGTGAAACAGGCTCCAGGCTCTGAGCCATCAGCCCAGAGGCTGACGCGGGGCTCGAACTCATGGACCACGAGATCGTGACCTGGCTGAAGTCGGACGCTTAACCGACTGCGCCACCCAGGCGCCCCGCTTTATAATTTTTAAATAATCAAATTTGTCTTGTAGTAATTTATGAACATGTTTTCTTTGCTCTGTACTTAATATTATCATGACAAACAAATCAGCAGAACTAGGACTTCATGACAAAAATTAAAAAGGAAGAAAATGAACAGAAATAATACTCATTTTCTATAAGCATACATTTGAAATAACAACCATTTAGGAATAATATAAAGTTTAAGGGATGTCTTAACTAATTTCAAGTATTCATTTAAAAACATATGTAACTCCAAACAGTATTGCTCAAAACTCTAATTTGATCTTTTACAAAGTGATTTATATTTTTTTAAAATGTGGTGTTTTTAGACTTGAAGTTGTTTTCTGAATTCCAGGAATTATATAGCATCTCCTGAGACATTTGATTTATCTTTATAAATATTTCTTCCATAAGTTAGATCAACAGTAGATAAACTCATACTTCCAAAGGCCTAAGGGTCAGGTAGAAGTTTCCTACACACTATTTTGATTGTTTCTGAAACTTGCAAAATGAGCTGGTAAAAATCCTTAAAAAAATATTGCTTTTAACATAATAATTTAAAAGCACAAAAAACATGGAAAGTTATTATTTGATAATTTTTAAAGGGGGAACAGCAACATTTCAAACCTTGGAAATATAAAAATTCATTCTTAAAAAAATTGTAATTCTCATGTCTTTAATCTCTCTGACTAAATTTTTAACTTTTTTTAATTTTTATTCTTGAGAGAGACAGAGACAGAACGTGAGCAGGGGAAGGGCACAGAGAGACAAAGACACAGAATCCAAAGCAGGTTCCAGGCTCCAAGTTGTCAGCACAGACCCCAACATGGGGCTCAAACTCACAAACCATGAGATCACGACCTGAGCCTAAAATCGGACACTTAACCAACTGAGCCACCCAGGCGCCCCTCTGTGACTCTCTTTTAAACTAAAGATTAGAATAGGATACCAATTTTATTTTCACTAGCAAATTTAAGCCTTTCCCATTTCTTTTCTGTGCAGTTAGTGTACTTATTTCCTGCATGAGAATGAATTTTTTCAGAATTCAATTTATTTTTTTTCTTAATTCCTGGATATTTGCTGACATTAATTTGGCAGCTCAATTTGACAACTCTGAATGAGTAATTACACATGCCAAACAACAAAAGAATTATTTAAGTATGGTATAGACTTTGTGGATTCACCTGATTAGAGCTTTTTCTCCAAAGTATTCTCCTTTCTGCAGTGTTTTTATCAGTTGTGGCTGATCGTGACCCTCTGTGCTCTGGGTGACTTTTACCTACATGATGTTAAACAATTAAAAAGATAAAGAGAAGGGGGAAAAAAAGAAAATCTGAGTACATATTCATTCAACCAGACCCTCCAAATCTATATAAACTTGACTGAAAGAAGGAAATAGAAGAGCCTTTGCTCTAACTTTGTGGCACTTAGGACGATCTTACTACAGGCAATTCACTTGGAGGGACTGAGAAATCCTGTGACTTAACATGACCAAATGACTCCCCATCTGTAAGAGAAAGATTCTCCATTCAAATCCCACCTCCCAAAGTTAAAAAAATTTTATGTGAATCTAGCAATTCCTTCCTAGAAATATTCAAAGCAAATCCTAATGTTCTTGTGGGAACTTTTATTATGGCAAAAAGCCAAAGAGTTGACAAACTAATCAAGAATAAGGCTAAGTGTCAGGAATTCTGAATCTAGTGTCCATGACTGATTTGTTGAATCCTCTGTTTTACCCCCTAAACCTAGATGTAAAATGTGGATATGGAGAAGGGTCATAACTTTCATGGGTGTCTCACTGTGATCCATGGCCCAGGAAGGTTTAAGAAGTCCCACGGCAGAACCAAACAAAAACTTCAATATTCCTTGTTTGTGGCTAGTCTTATGCCAATTCAACATAATCACAAGGGTTGCTTCCTGTTGATTAGAAATTCTGAAAGCATCGGGTCCAGGTGGAAGAGGAATGATAAAAAAAATGTTCTGAGTGTTGAAGAGTTTCTGAGGTTTGAAACCATTTTGTTATTTTTTTTTCTTTCACTGGGGGCCCAGTTCAAGGTTCGACAACCAACCAGTTTACAAAGGGCAGTGCCTGATGATAAACACTTCCATGGAAGAAAGAATACTTGTAAAAACTGGACAGGTTATGGATGCAGGTGCTCAAGGTTTCACTCTTTTTTTCAGTATTTCACAAATGCCTTTTATCTCTGAGCAACATTGTAAAGAGTCAACATAGGAACAACTGGCAACATGTTATCCACTCACAGTTTAAGTGAAGAGAAAAATCTACTGCATATACTAGCATAAATTTTTCATCAGCACGCAAACCAACTTGAGCTATGGTATATGAACTGAAGTTCCGAGCCCTCTCTACAGCTTTATGCCCAGCCATTGCTGTCCTCCACTGACAAGTTCATTCTCCTCCACCTGCTGCTTGTCACCCCTGCTGGATGGTAAAAATTTCCAGCCCTGATCCTGGATCATTGATTTGATTGGGAATCACAGACAAAAGGGATCTGAGAAAGAATCTAGTCATTTTAAACACAATGAAAGTCAAGGGACCTGCCTAAGGTCACTAAGAAGTTACTGTCTCAGCCAGAACCCAGAACAGCTCTCCTGTGCCCCCAAACCCAAGGCTAAGACCAAACCCCAAGGAACTCTTCTGAGCAGAAGTTCCTTTACCTGTTCAATGCAGAGACTTTCCAGTGCTGTGGTGCAGGGCAAACTAATGTGAAAAGACTTCCACGATTTACTTTAAGTAAGCTTTAATTCATATTTACCTTTCCTTTTGCTAAAATGAAGAAGGTACTTCCTTCCTCGCCCTCTCTAATAATGTAATCTCCTTTGTCATAGTATTCCTATTGGGATAAGAGAAAAAGAAAACGTTAAATCCAGTGGCGACATCCAGATGAAGGCATAAATGTAACAGAACTCCCCATGTCTTTGAAATGAGCATCCCATGCCTGTTGCTTTTCTTTGTTGCCTATTGTCACTGTAATCCTCTTAAACATTGCAGTCATAAACTGTAGAAAAGTAAAGAGACTTCTGCCTTATTACCTGCATTTCTTTTTGTCTTTCACAGAAATCACCAGAAAGACTGATTTTCAGGCATGGAGACTAAGGAACATGCAGAGAAACCAAAGCAAGACCATAATCACTGACATCCAGGTGGGCTTTCACTGAAAGAATCTAACTACAAACTGTTCAGTGATCTGTAACAGCCTGAAACCAGGCCTAGTGTTTAGAAAAAGAATATCTAAGAAATTGAAAATATTATCCCCAGCGGACATTAGGAATATCAGCGTCAACTTCTAATTCCTTGAAGGGCAAAGGCTAGGAAAATTCTACAGACAGAGGAAGTAGCTCTTTCCTGTGGATTCTTTTCAAAGATGTGTTGTCATAAAATATCAACATTAGAATTTTTCACATGTAAATTCTCTTCTTCAAGGTAGGTTTATCCTCATGAAATCTCAAACTGTCACATATTTCTTTGTTTCCGTCGCGAGTGCGCGCGCGCACGTGTGTGTGTGTGTGTGTGTGTGTGTGTGTGTGTGTGTGTGTGTGTGTAATCAGAGAATTCTTGGGCAGGGAAAAGCCATTCATCCATATGTCAGACCGATAGAGCAATACAGTCTCTTAGAAAACGAAAGATGGATTAGACTGTCCACCTCTACTCCACTTTAACATTGTCTCAAGGTCATAGAACCAAAATGGAACTCTTAATTATTTCTACAAACAAAAATGGCCCTGTTTCATTTATTTAAAAAGGCATAATTAACAACATCACAGCTTTCTCTTATTTTTCTTTTAGATTTAAAAACAAAATCCAGACAAAGCCACTTTTATGTCTGCTGTATTTCAGTATCTATTTTGGTCACTGACTAATAAAATCTACTTACATTTTTGAAATAAATGTTACTTCTAATATGACTAAACCTATCTTTTATTTACATAGCACTACATACATCTTACAAGATATTTCAACATATGGAAAGATGCATATCTTAGGGAAAAAACAATGCATAAAGTTCAAATAAGAACATTTACCTTCAAAGATTTAGAGAAGCACATTAGTTTTCTATTGCTACTGTTACAAATAACCACACATTTCTTAGTGGCTTAAAGAAAACACTCATTATCATCTCACAGTTTCTGTGGGTCAAGGAGTCCAGGCACAGCATGCCTCACCTGGATTTTTCTGTCAAGGGTCTCTCAAGACTGAACTCAAAAGTGTCAGGCTGTGTTCCTTTCTGGAGGCTCTGGGGGAAAATCCACTTTCAAGTTTAATCAGGTTGTTGGCAGAATTCAGTTTCTTGAGGTTATAGGATAAGGTCTCATTTCTGTACTGGCTGTTGGCCTCTTAGTTTCTGAAGATCCCTCTTAGGTCCATGCACAGAGCCCCCTGCATTTCATAACCAGCAATGGCTCATCAAATTCTTCTTAGACTTGAAATCTCTCTGACTTCCACTTATGCTAAATCTCTCTGACTCCAGCCAGAGAAAATGCTCTGCTTTTAAGGGCTCATGTAATTATAGTCATCCCATCTAGATAATCCAGAATAATCTCCTTATTTTAAGGTCCTGAACCTTAATTACACCTGCCCAGTCACTTTTGCCAGGTGACATAACATATTCACGCATTCCAAGGATTGCGGTCTGGGGCACTGGGAGGGGGGGAGGGG